GCTGCAGTGAACGCGGGAGTGTAGATACCTCTTTGAGATCCTGTTTTCATTTTCTTTGGACGTGTACCCAGAAGAGGCATTGCTGGGTCTAATGTGGTTCTATTACTAACTTTTTGTGGAACCTCCAAACTGTTTTCCACAGTGGCTATACCACTTTACATCCCCACTAGCAGTGCACAAAGGTCCCCTTTTCTCTTTTTTGTCTTCTTGTTGACAGCCGTGCTGGCAGGTGTGAAGTGATAGATTGTGTTTCTGATCTGCACTTCCCTGACGATAAGTGATGTCCAGCACCAAGGTCCTTAAAATACTGACTAATTTTCTGTCAACAGACAATTATCGAGCACTTAAACAGTGTCCTTCCAAAAGACATACACAGCTTCCTGTTAACTGTGCTAGTAGAGTGCCGCCTAGCCCGTACTTCGTAGTTTTATACTTCGGCTTTAGAAAGTATACTGCAGAGATAAGCATACAGAGAAAGCACGGGTCACGGTCGTCTTCTCACCCAGAGATCCTCCCTAGCAGTGTTTGATGTTTTGCCAGTCACTAGTCTTTCACATTGTAGGTTTATTCCTTCATTATTCATCGTTCAGTAAATGGTCATTGGGCGTCTGCTTTGTGCCAGGCCCTGCTTTAAACACTGAAGATGCAGTGGTGAGCACAGCTTGTCCTTCCAGACCACAGAGTGGGGAATGTGGTACCAGATGAAGCTGGGGAAAGTAAAAAGGACCCCATCATGTATCCTCGGGTAACCTGTAGTCGGTTCCCAAGAACAGGGGCAGGCGGGGGGAGGCAGGTTGCAGTGTGGAAATTTTGTTTGGCTGAAACAAAATGAGAGTAATTGTGATGAAGATGGGAGAGAAGTGGGTAGATTCCCGAGATGTTTTGGGTGTGAGGTCTGCAGGCCCCGATGTGAATCGGATCTGGGAAAGGAGTGAGGAGGAGGCCCACGGGGGACCCTGCGGTTTCTGGTCTGCATGCTGGGATGGTGGTTGCTGTTCCGTGCGACAAGACTGAATAAGGTTGGGTCTGTGGGAAGGTTACTGCTCAGTCCCGGACAGCCGAGGTGCCTCTGAGACGTGCAGGAGGGATGCTCTGTCGGCCGCCTCCGTGTGAGCACCGTCAGCACGTTGGGAGTCGTGTGGCAGCTGCTGAGCACGGGCGACAGCTCTCGCAGGGGGCAGGCCAGGAGTATCAAGAAAACGACTGAAACCTGCTTGACGTAGTGACAGTCGCTGGCGACGTGAGCAAGTGCTGTTCTAGGGGAAGGGCGCCCGAATGCCAGGTTGGAGTGGGTTGGAGTGGCGACGGCCAGGGTGGAGGTCAATAGAGACGTTTGCAGAGGCACAGGAAGATGGGGCGAGCGGGGGGACGGTGAACCGTGGAGTGCAGGCCTGGTTTTGCTTTTAGTAGGAGAGAGGTGAGTGTGTGCAGAAGCCAAGTAGGAAGGGTTCAGCTGAGGGGAAGAGTAAGTATCCGGGAGAAGGAGATGGAATAAGAATGTGAGGTTCCTGCGAGGCCAGCAGGGCTGAGATCCAGCTCCCAGCACAGCTTCAGGGATTATAAACATTCTCATTTCTTTCTTTAGAAAATCACAAATTTTAATGACTGTTTAAAATGGTATGCATTTGTATACAAGTGTTTGAATATTCTGAGAAGTTATCGTTAAAAGCGAACGCTGAAAAGTAGGAAACCTGCCAAGTTCTGTTCACCGCTGTCTCATCCTCGGTCGCCCTCCAGACTCTTAGCTCCACCCGCCCGGGCAGGCCCCCTTAAGTGTCTGCTCAGCCTCTCAAAGCCAGTAACTCACGATTCCTTTCACAGCTCTTTCCCCATCTTCCCACTTCATTAAATGGCACTGTCCATTGCTGGAGAAAACCTGAGCCCCCTTTGATTCTGCTCTGCCCCTCACTCCTGCACACACGGTAGCCTTCACCTTCCAGAGCGGCCAGGGGAGAGATGTGTATTGTAAGTCACCGGCTCAGTACACAGGAGAGAACAGAGAGGATGAGGAGCCCCGAGACCGTCTCTGGGCCCTGAGGGCCGTTGATAATCAGCCAGGAGGAGGTGGGCGCGGCGTGGGGACACTCACGTTTCCAGGGGTGGTTTTGCAAACTGAAATTTCGTATGAAATAAGACCTTACTCATCAGATATTAGTCAATTTAACAGCAACAATTGTGTTAGATGCCAAATACCCAGAAGTTAAAAGGTGTGGTGTTGTTTTCAAATATTATATAAACAAATTTTGTTGTAGTGCTGTTTTTTAGAACTTACCAAATACCTACAATTAAAATAACTTTTCATGTTTATAGCATTTATAATGTATGCACTTTAAAATATAAGCCTGTGGTAGAAAAGTGGGTCCTGAAGACCCACTTACACCTTTCTCTTAATTTTAAGCCATTTAAAAAACTATTCACATTTTCAAATATCAATAACAAATGGCAAATGACATGGTTGACTTATCCTTATTAATAATTTTTAAAAACTAGGTGGGTATATCAAACTGTGCTAACAGTGTCTTTGTACATTTCAAAATTAAGAATTAGCCATAACATATTGACACATTGTAAACTGACTATAACTCAATAAAATTTAAAAAAAAAAAAGAATTAGCCACAACAGTCTAGAGTTTTGTGTTATTTATTTAGCACCTGGATTACTCTTGACTTTAGTATTACCAAGCACATAGATATAATGTTTTTAAACTAGGCACCTGATTACGCTTTGGAGAAATTTCTTATGAATCTGGAAAGAACCTAATCATTCTGTCTAAGTTGTGTGTGTTGACTTTGGAAGAGGAACGGCTTGCACACTGTCTCCATGTTCCACACAGTCCGAGGTGTTAACGCCTGACGGATAAACGGAAACTGTAATAAACCAGGAAAGAGATTTTGAATGGTTGTTGTAAGTTCTACCTACAAGCACTAATTTTCTGTCCTAGATTTAATACCGTATGGTAGATAGACTCTAGTGAAGTGTGAATGATATTTAAAGCTGCGTTTAATTTGCGAGGTAAAACAGAAGAAAATTCTATTTCTCATTACTGTTTGGTCAAGTTCTACCTAATTTTTCTCTGAATTTTCTGAACTCTCTCCTAGAGCAATTACTTGGTGTTCATGGCGGAACTCTTCTGGTGGTTCGAGGTTGTGAAGCCCTCGTTCGTTCAGCCCCGCGATGTTCGTGCACAAGGAGGTGATGGATCTTTGCAGTTTTGAGTGTCCTGTAAACAGTCAGAGTGGAAAGTTTATGTGGCCTCACCTGCTTGTTTTTGTAGAGGGAAGCCTGTTGCTGTTTCATGTTGCACCTGTTAGCCTTGATAAAGTCTGAGCATTTTAGTATTTAAAGCCACCAAATTCTCTGGGAGAGAGAGATGCTGTGGAGGGAAGGAAGTGGTGAGAACAGCCCTGAGTCGGAAGGCTTGTGTTGTGGAACTTTTAGCTCTGACTGTTTGCCTACTCTCTTTTCTTAGCATTTTTTACCCTCATCCCTGGCCTTTGTTCTTAGATTCCAAGTTTTTAATATTGTTACCCAGAGTCCACTCAGATTATGGCTTGGCATGTGTACTTTGAATTTGCCATTAAGCCATGAAAAAGTTTGTATGTATATATATATGTTTTTAACATAGTAGGTTTTGTGATTATTACAGTATCATGATCTGTTGATTGCACGTAACAAGAACACTAGTAAGAAATAAAGGGGTGAGTTACTGTAAAGATCTCTAGAAATAAAGAATAGGAAAGTCTTCCTGCGTTTTCTTTCAAAGCAGATTTTCCATTGGCTTCCATTATAAACCAGGGGTGTGTTTCTATACGGGAAAACGGTCCCACGTTACAAGTTTAGCCCCTGAAGAACTTTCTTCAGCGTGACTCGGCTCTTCCTGCCGTCAGTGTCCCCCCGACGCAAAATGTGGCTACTGTGCATCCTAACGAGTTGGCTGCTCCCTCATTTCTCCCCGCGCCCACCTCCCCTCGGAAACACCGAGGAAGAGGATGAGATCGGGAAGGAGGGGGCGATCCGCAGTTGGGTGAGGGGGGCGTGTCGCTCTAGTGAGCGGAGTGAGGTTACTGCAGTCAGCCCGCCGCACCTCAGGCCGGATTCTGTAAAACACGCAGTGTTTGATCTGGTCTGTCTCCAAGCTGCTTAAGGAGGAGGCTGCATAGCAGTCATGATGTCACAAGGAATAGCTGTCAAGAAGTTGGGGTCCTTCCCCACGGCCATTGATGGTTACTAGCAGTTGTAACCGATATTTGTACAACTTTTTACTATTAACATAGAATTTTCATATACATTGCTTTCTACGATCTCATCTATGAAGCCACTATTCAGAATGTTCAACAGCTGTTACATTAGGCCTCAAAGGCAAAAAATAAATTGAGTCTTCCACCAGGGTTGTTTACAAAAATGTAGACTGTGCCAGTAGGCTTAATTATTAACCAGTGAAATTCTGTTTCTTTCTTTGATTGATTACCAAAATGCCAGCTGTTTCATAAAGAAGCAAAAATGACTATATGTAACTGAAGTTCTGCGAAAGCTTTAGCAAAATTAGACATTTATTTTTATTTTAAATTCTGTACTTATTTTATGTTAAGCCTCCCCCACCAGTAGCTTTAATCAAGTGAGTATTTTAAGCAAGAGCACTTCAAGAGGAGATTAAGGAAAGTTTGTCCTTTTGAAAATTATTTTAAAAGAAAACTTTAAATATGCTAAGAATTCTCTGTAAGTAATAAGAGAAATTGAGAATAAACTTAAACATTTATTTGTGGTGCAGAGTCCTTGAAATAATGTTGGAAACATGCTAACTGCGTAATTCTGAGATTCTGTCTTTCATTGTAGCTGAGCCTGTGGACGATCCGCCTTCAGTTCCTGTCTTTAATGCTGCCCAGAGACACGCCCTGGACAGCCCTGATCTCAGTCCAGGGTAGGTTCCAGAGTGACTGCACGTTCCCTGTTTTTACCCATTCACTAATAAAGTCAAAATAAAATTCTATAGGGTGAGGAGGGTGTAGCTCAGTGGTAGAGCGTGTGCTTAGCATGCACAAGGTCCTGGGTTCAATCTCCAGTACCTCCATTTTTTAAAAATTGTTTTTAATAGAGAAACCTAATTACCTCCCCACCTCACTCCCACCCCCCAAAAAACCCCAGAGATAAAATTTTGTTGCATTAGAATTTTTAAATTTTCAGTTGAACTTTGAACTAAATCAGTTTCCATTAGCCTACCCTATTAAAGTCTATTTTAACATCAGTGTAATTGAAATGCACACTGAGAAGTGGAGGAATATATTCTAAGGTCCAAATAACTGGCCTAAAACCAAACTTTTGCTGCATAACTTGTTTATAATTGGGATTATATGCTGCTTAAGTCATAGGTAACTCTTAGGCCTTGGGAAATTTTTAAATTCTACTTGGGTTTTTAAATTTTTTAAAAACAATTTTTTAATCTTTGAGGCAGTTTTTCCTACTGTTTGTTTGCTGGTTACTTTGGCTATTAAGAGGTCACAATGGAATATTTATTGTAATATTGAATCTTTATCCAGTGCTTTAGTTCTTAGTCTCAGAAAGTGAATTGAAAGCAAAGTAAACATTTAATATCAGGATAATCCTGACTTCTGACCCAAATATGATAGAGACATTAATTTGTTTAAAAATGCTTTTCAGCAGATCCTGTAAGCAGCTTTTAATGTGTATTTCTTAGAACCTGAAATGTATATTGACTTTGGACTCAATAATTTATGATTTTTTTTAAGTTTAGAACTGATGTATTCTGTGGGATTTTTTAGAAATTCAAGCAAATCTATTAAAAATATTGGGGGAGGGTGTATTATAGCTCAGTGGTAGAGCGCATGCCTAGCATGCACGAGGTCCTGGGTTCAATCCCCAGTACCCCCACTAAAAAAATAAAATAAAATGAATAAACCTAATTACCTCCGCCTCACCAAAAAGAAAAATCTATTAAAAATACAGTTAAAGTATACAAGTAAGAAATTAGAAGTACTTTGGGTATGAGCTCTTGTCTCAACACAGAGAGCTCTCGCCCACTGCCCGCACGTGAGCCGTTCCCGGCGGCGGCTGCGAGCCGAGCGGAGCGGGCAGCCCTGCCGGGCCGCCTCCCCCGCGGCTCCCTGGGCTCCGTGAAGGCTTCCTGCAGGTTCAGAGGGCGTCTTCCTGGCCTACCCTCTGATCGCCGCCGTGAATTTTCTTCCTTGCCCTGAGTTTGCCCTTCCGAAACTGTCACTGAGGTTTAGCAGGTTGGGCGGAGGCTGATCTGGGGGCCTCCCTGTCTGATGCCTTGGGAAGCTTTTCCGCGTGGGGTTTCCTCTGTGCCTTCCTGGCTTGGCTTCACTGGAAGTTTAGGAAACAGTGCTGTAGGTTGTTACTCTCGTACTGTTAAGTCTTTAAGAACTCTGAAACTTGCCACCTAGGGGTGAGGTTATTCCCTAGCTGCTCCTTCCAGGCACCCGAGTGGACAGCCGTCCACGTTTCTGATGCTGGAAACTGCGTTAAGAGCCCCTGAAAGACTCGTCCCTTTTCTGTCTCCCAGTTGGACGAGTGGCTCCCTTTCTCCATCTTCCCAGCAGCAGGGCCTTCTGCAGCGAGGTGGACGTCTCAGCTATTTTCCTTGAAGAGCCGTTGTGTAATCCTCTCATTTCTGTGAGTTTCCATGTGGGCCGTTCGTGGTTCTCCTGCTGGAAAACTTTGGAGGAAGGACTCAAGAATTTCTGCCCTTCTGAGAATAATGCAGTCAGCACTACAAATATATTACTCCTAAATAATGATCTTATGAGGGAAAAAAAACTAAGGAAGGGGGCGGCAAAGCAGAGGACATTTCCAGCAGCTGCTCCGTGCCCTGGCCTGCTGCTCCCTCTGGGAGTGAACGCCACGTCCTCAGCGTGGGTGCCGAGCCGCTGCTGGAGAAGGAGAAAGGGCACGTGTTCGAGTAACTTGACCTGCATCTCTGGGATTCCCCTCTGGTCACAGACGTGGGAGAGCAGAGACTTTGGAAGGGACACGGGGTGGGGCAGTGCGAGCACCCGAGAAAGCACTGCGGACAGCGGGGGGGGGGGGGGGGCGACTCACCTGCGGGGGGAGGTGAGGCAGCAGCTTTGTGTCAGTGCTTCAGGGGTCGTTGCTTTTGCAGAGCTAACGAATGTGGCTTTTGTTAAACAGTAAGAATATGATATTGTTCCTTACCTTTGAATTCCTGAGTTGGCTGGTCCTCTCAGTGCGCATCAGCCAGATGGTGCGGGTGGTGTGGTCTGAGAAGGGGCTGTGTCCTGCTGCCCCGGCTCCTCTCACGCAGCAGGGGTGGGGATGCCTCCCTGCCGCAAGGCGGGCCGGGGCAGGCTGGAGGCTTAGAAGAGGAAAAGGTAAACTTTGGCCGAATGTCATTATAATTTGAGAAATAGACTGTCCAGTCCGCCCCGCACTGATTGGGATGGGGTGCAAGTCAACAGAAAGAAGCTGCAGGAAAGCTGCCCGTCTTGATGGGCCCAGAGGGCTCTGTTGATGTTGGTGTGAGTGCGGGGGCCACGCGCCGGGCTTCCAGGCTCTTACAGGGACCGGTTACGTGAGAGGTTTAGTTTGACCAAAATATTTCAGACTGGTGACTTTCTTTTAACTTCTTTAACTCTCAGTTTTTCTGCTTGTGAAGTAAAAACGGTGCTCTGTATTTTGTCTCCCCAGGACAATGAGTTATACATGGAGGTAGGGTTTCCAGCTCTTTGGCTGAGACATAAAATACGTAGAGATCCATGTAGCCCCAGCCGTTCTTTGGTTTAAACACTGTGTCAGTGTTTCCCCAGCTTCCTTTCTGCTAAAGATGGGGACTCAGGAGCGACCATGCAGCTCCGCCTGAGCCGCTCGCGCACGGCTGAGAGGCCAGGGCGCCGTAACCTGCCCCGTCTGTTCCTTTGCAGGGGGGAGGGCGCGGCCTTCACTCACGCGCCTCACCACGTGCCCACCAGACGCGCACGTGCCCAGGCTCCTGCTTCTGCCCCAGGTAATCCGTCTGGAAAAGCCTAGGACGAGGTCATTTAGGTGGTGGACTGGGAGATGTAAATACACAGAAATACCCAGCCTTTGTTCTAAGAAGTGTGGATCTGTTTCCCTGTGCTTGCTTCTCTTATAAAACGACCTTTATTTCTCCATATGCACCCACTTGCCTTTAATGCTGTTGTTAGTGAGTCCTCAAATATGTGAAATCCGTTAAATTGTTGTAAGTTAATGTTTTTTACGTGATTTCAATGACTTTCTTTTATGCGTCTGAAGGAGGAATAAGAAGGTCTTCATCCATGTCTTACGTTGATGGCTCCGTCGGGACCTGGCCCAAGGAGAAGAGGTAACCCTGGGAGGTCTCGTGGGGGCCCCCCTTGTTGGCCACATCCAGTAGACTTTTAATTAGTACCCACATTTGAAGACAGGCAGGTGAGAGAGGCCACAGGGGCCAGGGTAGCGGGGGTCCTGGCAGCCCTCGCCTTGCCCTGAGGACTGTGATTAGGGGGAGCGGAAAGAAGGCGGTGTGGCTTCAGAGAACTGTTGCTCAGCGGCATCAGACGTTCTTCTCTGAGCTTGTTTAGGGACTCTCTCTCTAATTTTTTTTTTTTAGATCATCAGTGCATGGAGTTTCATTTGACATTTCTTTTGATAAAGAAAATACTGCACAGAGATCCACTCTAAACCGAGGAATCACCCGTTCTATCAGTAACGAGGGACTTACCCTGAACAACAGTCGTGTGTCTAAGAACATTAGGAAAAACTTGTCCTTCAAGCCCGTCAACGGGGAGGAGGAAGCAGAAGGCATTGAGGAGGAGCTGAACGTGGGCTCTCACGGCGACCTGACGGCCTACCTGCCCCTGAACACAGACGAACTGAATTCTGATGAGAACCTGCATTATAAGCTTCCAAATGGAGCTTTACAGAACCGAGTGCTTCTGGATGAGTTTGGCAATCAGATCGGGACCCCGAGCATTGAGGAGGCTCTGCAGATAATCCACGACACCGAGAAGACGCCCCGCCCACCCCAGACGGACCACATCGCTAATGGCTTCTTCCTTCACAGCCAGGACGCCAGCGTCCTGCGCTCCAGCAGCCCGCTGGGCCGGCCCAGCCCCGAGAGCACGACCGATGGGAAGGGCGCCTTGAGCCCCGTTACTGACAACACCGAGGTGGACACTGGGATCCACGTCCCTTCCGAAGACATCCCCGAGACGATGGATGAGGACTCCTCCCTGAGAGACTACACTGTCAGTCTGGACTCCGACATGGACGACGCTTCTAAATTCCTTCCGGATTATGACGTGCGAGGCGGCCAGCCCAGAGATGCGCTGAGCCCCTGCCCCAGCACCGTGAGCACCAGGTCGCAGCCCGGCAGCAGCGCTTCTTCCAGCTCCGGCGTGAAGATGACCAGCTTTGCCGAGCAGAAGTTCCGGAAGCTGCACCATGCCGACGGGAAGAGCAGCGGAGGCAGCTCCCAGAAGACGACGCCCGAGGGCTCGGAGCTCAACATCCCTCACGTGGTGGCCTGGGCTCAGATCCCGGAGGAAGCGGGCCTGGCGCAGGGGCGGGACACCACGCAGCTGCTGGCCTCCGAGATGCTGCATCTCAGGATGAAACTGGAAGAAAAGAGGCGCGCTATCGAGGCCCAGAAGAAGAAGATGGAGGCCGCTTTCACGAAACAAAGGCAGAAGATGGGTCGGACGGCGTTCCTCACGGTAGTGAAGAAGAAAGGGGACGGGGCCTCCCCTCTTCGCGAGGAGGCGGCCGGTGCTGAGGACGAGAAGGTGTTCACCGACCGGGCCAAGGAGAAGGGGCCACCACGAGCCCACGGGCAGAGGAGCAAGTCTCTGGCGGACATAAAGGAGGGAGCGGAGAACCCTCAGGGCGGGTGGCTGAAGTCACCTGCCGCCCCCGTGGACCCTGAGAAGCAGTGGGGCCTGGCCAGCCCCTCGGAAGACACTCTGAACGAAGGGGAGCTCCTGGAGTACACCAGGTCCATCGAGAGGCTGAACTCCTCCCTGCACTTCCTGCAGCAGGAGATGCAGCGCCTGTCCCTGCAGCAGGAGCTGCTGATGCAGATGCGGGAGCAGCAGGCCTGGGTGATCTCGCCGCCCCAGCCCTCCCCGCAGAAGCAGCCGCGGGACTGCAGAGCCCCCCGGCAGGCCGGCGCCCCATTCTCCACGGACTCCCCGCGTCCTGGCCACCCGTCTCCCCAGTCTAATACCAGGAAGAGTGCATCTTTCTCTGCTAAGAGTCAGAGGACTCCCAGGCCAAATGAGTTAAAAATCACCCCGTTGAACCGGACGTTGACGGCCCCGCGCTCCGTGGACAGTCTTCCCCGCTTGAGGAGGTTCTCGCCCAGTCAGGTCCCCATTCAGACCAGGTCGTTTGTGTGTCTGGGGGACGATGGAGAGCCTCAGGCACAGGAGCCCAGGCGGAAGGAGGAGGGTAGAAAGGAGGAGCCGGGGTCCGCAGGGTGTGGACACAGCGCGGAGGGAGGGGAGAGCCAGCCTCTGCCCTTGGCCGCCCCTGAGGGCCCGATGCAGCCTGTCCCCGAGCCCGCGGGCCCCTCCCCTGATGGGGACCCACCAACGCACCCTGCAGAGCCGCCTTCGAAGCCAGTGTTCCCACCTGCTGCTCCCAGAAATGTCAGTCTGATTGAAGTCTCCCTCTCAGATCTGAAACCGCCTGAAAAGGCTGATGTGTCTGTTGAAAAGTACGATGGAGAAAGTGATAAAGAGCAATTTGATGACGACCAGAAAGTGTGCTGCGGATTCTTCTTCAAGGTAAAACGGTAGAATCTGCGCGGTTCCAGGCGTCTTCACTGGTGGGCTTTTTGAGGTGGCGCGCTGGCTTCGTTCAGCGCGTCCCTTCTGTTCCAGGCCTGCCTTTGCTCCCCAGGCACGTTTTAGTGACACTGTACCCCCCCCCGCCC